TGAAAGTCTGTCATGCAGCCTCTAATGACAATAAGTGGACAAAGATTAAGATTCTCTGTGGTCTTCCACCCAGTGCACACCAGCTGCCCACAGCTTCACTTCACTTACAGAGTCCCCCAATGTCAGGAATGTAAAAGTTAGAACAATCACAGTGTGGAAATCACAATTCTATCGCTATTTCAGACTCCCTCCGGGACCCAGAAAAGGACATGCCTGGACTCCTGCAGCTTGTGGCACATAGTACTCAGGACAGGGCACCCCCTGCTCTGCCAGGGGCTGTTGGTGGGAGGCCTCTAAAACTGTTCAGAGAAAGGTAAATCCATGACTCTATGAGCACACCACAGATTTTATTTAAGTCACTCTAATGAGGGAGTAGGAATGTTCCTACAACCAGATGAAAGGAGAACTCAAAGACTCAAATCTATGTGGAGCAAAGGTCTGTTGAAGTTAACTTACAATGGATAAAACTGACTTTTACCACTACTGGCCAAGGGAGATCAACTGAACCCCCAGGGAGAGAATTCACTTTCAGTTCTATAGAAAAGAACTGTTTATATCGTTTATTTTGTGGTGCTGGATCGAATCCAGGGCTTTGCATATGCTAGGCAAGCACTTGTACTGCTGAGATTTTTTTTCTTTAAAGACAGGGTCTCACTTTGTAGCCCACATTAACCTCAAACTCAGCTATTGCTATGTAGCCCAGGCTGTCTTCAAACTTTTGATTCTCCTCCCTTTGCCTCCTGAGCACTGGGATTACAGGTGTGTGCTGCCAGGCCCAGCTTTATCTACTGGTTATTATCTAGTTATCTACAAATGCAGAGTGGTGAAATAGTTCAGTGACAATGACAAGCACCAACCTGAAACATCAGATACCTTGAGTCAGGCATATGGGTTCAGGCCTGACAATTCCAGCACTTGGGAGGCTGAGGAAGGAGGATCTTGAGGTCAAGTTCAGCCTGGACTACATAGCAAGAGCATGTCTCAAACACAAAATAAAAACCTGGGAAAATGTGCTTGAAGTGATAGTTTTCCACCTGAGAGAACAATGATGTCTACCTCATTCAAAGCCTTTCTTTTTCACGGTGCTGGAGACCGAATGCAGACCTCACGTGTGCTAGGCTGGTGCTCTACCAGAGTTACACCTTGTATTTTCTTTACATCCCACTTCCCACTTGTTGAACACCCACCTGTATGATTCACAAATCCCTCCCGTATTTCAGCAAACATGAGTGGATTTCTGTGTCACAGCTGAGCGAGTAGTAACCCAAGTCATCTCCTGTCTCCTTGAGGCATTTGGAACAGCTCAGGCTTTGGACGCACCACTGGTCTTTCTGTTCTTTTGTAGGCAGGGTTGACCATTCTCTTGACATCTACCCCCTTGTGCTCCCCACGACCCCCTTCTCCCGTCTCCATCTGTACCCTCCCTTAGAACGCAGGCACGAGCTTCCTAATCTGTACAGCCCTAACAAATCCTAGGGTGAGCTGGAGAGGAAAGTCAAGGGCACACTTGTTGGTTCGACTTTCACCTTGGTTGAGGATCCTCTGTGTTGAGCGTGATGACCCTGCCAGTCACTCTTTCAAGCAAGCGTCTCCCTGCTCAAAATGCTGACACAGGGTCTGGCTGCAGAGCTCACAGCATGAAGAACACCCCACTCCTTCATTTTTCTCAATGAGGAGCCACCACCCCTTCCCCATCAAGCCAGGGGTCAGCCATGCTTAGCTGTTGACAGTGGACCTGCTCCTGAGAACTGCAGGGTGTCAGGGCCTGGTAAAATGGGTGGTAGTTTGGTTTTCCGTCCCTAGGAGAACTGTCAGAGGTGCTGAAGCGCCGCTGAGTGGACTTGGGGGGAGGGGTCCTGAAGGCTGGAAGCGTCAGGAAACTGGAGGAATTAGGGCCTGGGGATTGGGAGGGAGAACACAGGGGAAGGAAGACTAGGTACTGGGTAATGAGATGAGAGCAGAGACTGGTGAGCTGCGGTTAAGAGGAACAGGACTTCTGAGAAACGTGGAGAGCTGTGAGAACTGGCTGGGAAAGTTGGAAGGAATGAAGATTCTGGAGATCCAAGTCCAAGGGGCTGACTTCAGGCACAGCTGGAAGGTGACTATGGTCAGGGTTCTGTGTCTTTCTCTTCCTCTGAGCTCTACTTGCCTCTGGGGTGCCTTCATTCTCAAGTATGCTCACTGAATCCTTTGTTCTCTTTTTTGGTGGTACTGTTTTTTCTTGTTGTTTTTTTTTTTTTTTTTTTGCAGTAGTGGGGTTTGAACTCAGGGCCTAAACTTTGAGCCACTCTACCAGCCCTTTTTTTTTTTGTGATGGGTTTTTTCAAGATAGGGTCTTGGGAACTATCTGCAGGGCTGGCTTTGAACCACGAGCCTCCTGGTCTCTGCCTCCTGAGTAGCTAGGATTACTGGTTTGAGCCACCAACACCCAGCTTGAATAGTTTTTATAGTTCCTAAGAAATCTGACTGACACCCCAAACACCTCATGGTAGACTCTGCTTTATCCACAGGGGTCAGTGTCCCCTAGTTCCATTTCTATGGGCAGGAAAGTAGGTCACACAGCCAGCCACAGGGTCGTTAGGGGAGGCAGGGGGTGCTGAGATTAACACCTACCAGAACCCGAGTGGCCTCCAAGGTCCCAAAGCTTCAGTGAGAACTGCAGCAAAGGAGACCCCAGGAAGCCCCAGGAGGTGAGCAGCAAGTCTTCCCAGGATGCAGTGGGGGTGACCAGAAGGACCCCAGGTCAGGTGATGGGGTCTCTGAGCAGATGCAAATCAGGTTGTGACACCTCCAGTTGCATAGGTGCCCACAGCTGTCTGCGGACTCCAATGGGCTGAGGACCCAGGACTGAAGGAGAGTGATCTTACCATCAGCCTTTCAGCCACAGCCAGGTAGGCCTTGTTCCTGACTCAAGGACTCAGTCTCAGATGAGATGGCCACGCACCTGGGAAAGGAGGCTGCCTGTGGCTGGCCCTTCTGCGTTCTCAAGGAACCCAGGGGACATTCCTGGTGGTGGGACAGAGAATCATATGCCTCATGATTAGCTTTGCCCTCAGACTCTCCTCCGGGACATTCAGGCACCTTAGGTTCTGCCTTGGCTACTACCTTCCTGTGGAGCTTCCTGCAACTCCCCAGCCCCAGATCTGAGACTCCTTTGTCCAGCTGGAGGTGAAAGGTGCCCTGACCTGGCAGGCCTGGGGTGGTGAGCTATTCTACCTTCTGAGAGACGCTCATGGGCTTAATAGGACTGCCTCACCTCAGGCCTGGTCCTGTTATCTTCCTCTACTTGTTATTTTGACCCTTGATCCTTCTAGGGCAGGACAGAGAGGCCCTGGAGATTTCAAAGAGCAGTGGATTCCTCAGATGGCCCGCCTCCGGCCCAGGCCGGCTTGGCTGTCTAGCACCTTCCCTCCTCTTTCCAGACCTTGCATCTCTGTAGGGTTAGGGCCTTGCTGTCCTGTGGCCCTTGGGCCTGGCACACCTAGCACAAACACATACGTGAGCATAGGGCAGAGGCCACCTTGATCCATGGCAAGGAAGACAGAAAGGAACTGGAAGGTGGCCCCACCAGCCTCCAGGCCAGGGGATAAGGGCAGACTGTTGTAAGGGAAGGGGGTGTCATGAGCACTGGTGACTCCTGAAGCTGACCTGCTACTGTCACCCACCACGGTAATGAAACCCTGTCAAGCCACCCCTGCTCCTCAGGGCTGGGTTCTGAGCCACTGGAACCACACTACTCAAGGCTCAAGTGATCTCCCTGCTCCTGCAAAGATGGTGGAGAGGGAGGAAAACGAGGCCAACACACCAAGTCAAGGACAGGAGGCTTCTGAAGTTTAGAAAGAGCATCCAGAGACCAGAACGATGGAGGAACTCTGGCAGCAGGGGTGGGAATCACCTAACCCTAGACTCCAGGCTCTGCCTGGGTAGCAACAGACCACTAGCCTGTGATGATGGGGCCTCAAGCTAGGCCAGTCCCACTGAGTCACAGTTCAGTGTCAAATCTCCTGGTGCAGATGTGTACCCCATAGGCCTTTCCTTTCCACTTGCCCGGGAGCCTCTTCCCGGACACTGGTGGCTGTGAGTAGCCTCTGGTGAATCCTCAAGTGCCTTTTAGGGGTTCTTCCAAATCCACATCTGGTTGCAGCCTTTGTGTCAGCATCTAAGAACAACCCAGCCCAGGGCAGGCAGTGGTGCTTCCTGCAAATAAAGAGCAAGGGCCCAGTCTGCTTGGAACCAGCCATTTATCAGCAGGCCTGGAAGAAGGCAGCTGCAGCATGTCTGCCTGAATAGTGGATTTGGGGGCTCTGATGCAGGGCTGGTGTCTTAAGGATGGGTAGGCAATGCTGAAGGGTCCTGAGATAGGCAGGAAATCTTGTACCCTCCCTGGCTCTTCCAAGCCCCCACCCCCATACACACTAAGGCCTTCCTGTGCCTGAATTTTGCACCAAACTCTGGTATGAACCACCTAGAAGGATGCTCCTGGGCAGCCAGTTGGCAAGCACTGTCACTCCCAGGTCACTTTGGTGGGTCCAGCCCAATCAGGCAGGCCTGACCCTTAGGTGCTTGTGGAGTACTGACCCTGCTGCTTGTAAGGTGGCCTTCCTGCTGGAGGCATCACACTGCCTTTAAGCACTGGAGTCAGTTCCCTGTGTGGGCCCAGGGAACTGGTCTTTGCCCCCTCAAGGCAGTTTTAAGAAACAGAGGCCGGAGTTCTGGGGTAACATCAGAATTTGTGAAAGCAGCCTGGGGGTAGCTGGATGCCTGCCCAGAATCTGTGCCAGGACCCTGGGGAGAGGCAGTTCTTAGGGAGGGAGGTCAGCCTGCACAGGGAGAGGTGCTCATGGGATTAACAACAACTGAATAAAGACGCTTTATTGTGCAAATCCCACAAAGGTCTCAGAGCCAAGCCCACAACCCCAACCTGTTCCTGGCTCCAGGCCTGCTCTTTGGTCCTCACCCTGGCCCGAAGCACCAGGTCTCTTGTGGAGTGTGCAGGTGTCCGTGAGTATGTCAGTGTGTGGGGAGGCCTCTTGGAGCCACAGGCACCCAGGCACTGTGGCAGCCTCCAGATGGAGACAAGTGGGGTGGAGTGAGGTCCCACATGCCAAGGCTCAGAGGCCACACTGGTCCACACAGTCTTTGCCACTGTGGAATACATGGTAGATGCTGGTTGGAGGGAACATGGCAACAGCGCCCAGCAGGGAGCCCACCTGGATGGCCACACCAGCTGCTAGCAGTGCAGGCCGGCCTCCACCATGCAGCATGGAGCTGACTGCCACTTTGACATACGAGAATACGCCTGCACACAGCACCCAGGACAGCACCTGAGGGGGTTGCAGCAGCAGGCTCAGTATGAAGTCCCTCTGCTCCAGAGCAAGCCCCTCCCCACTTCATGTCCCCACCATACTTACCACGAGGACCACACCTGCAGAGGTGCCCACTAGGGGAGGGCAGGGACTCAGGACTGCTAGCGCCATCAGGTAGGCCCCAAAGAGAATGCCCAACAAAGAGAGACCACACAGCCCTACCAGGGACCTGCCAGGAATGGGCCGAGACTCAGGACTGGCTGTATCAGGACCTAGCCCCCACCCCAAGTTCCTCCCACCAAGGGGCTCTGAGCCCATGTGCACCTGCACAGCACACCCATGGCCAGGAAGCAGGCTAGGGGGTTGGCAGAGCTGCCCAGCACCACAGCCAGATGGTAGGCCAGGCGTCCGTAGGGCAGGCAGGAAAAGCTCTGCACAGCAGGCAGCACACCATTGGTCAGTGCATTGGTGGTGGCGAGCAGGCCCAGAAGGCAGGCACTGTGGGCAGAGAACAACTGATGGGCCTTAGGGTCTGGGCTGGAGGTGGTGCCTGCTGTCTGGGTTGGCGGCTCCTGTAATGGTGAGGCCTCTTCCTCCTCTTCTTCCTCTGCTCCTGGTGCTCCCACCTGCAGGCCTGAGCCTGGGTCTCCTGTGGGTACAGATGGTGGTCTTGGCAGCAGTCGCAGAAGACCCTGGAAGGCGGCAGCTGAAGTGACGAGGACAGCAGTCAGTACCCAGAAGAAGGTGCTGGCAGAAAAACGCTCTGGGAAGTTGATGGGCGGCCCTGGGGTGCCATTGACAGGAACAGGCGGACACTCCAGGCGGCCCACACCCTGCATAAGGGCCAGCACACAGGGCAGCAGGGCACTGAGGCCCTGACCCAGGAAGAAAGACCGTAAGAAGTGAGGTGGCAAGTGGCTCAGGAAGGGCAGAAAAGTGACGTTAGAGGCACAGCAGGCCATTGCCAGCACAAATGCCAGGGTCAGGAAGGCCACAGAGTGGGACTGCCCTGCCACTTGGGCCACGTGGTACCACAAAGGGGCCAAAAGGGCTGCGCCCACCACACTCAGCCCCTGGACCACTTGGATGGGGATCCGCTCGCCCTTGCCGGGGGCCAGCCGCCTCCACAGGGTCACCAACAGCAGACCCAGGTTCCCCAACGCCACAAGCACAGAGAGGTATGACGGGAGGCTCCAGCCTGCAGCGAGGGAGAAGGCCAAGTCAGGACACATGGCTGAGGGACAAAGAGCAGTGCAGTCCACCTTCCCACCACCTCCACTCACCCTCGGGAAGGTCTTTCACCACCACAGGCAGCTCCACCCAGATCCCGTTGACGGCAGCCCATGAGCCCATGCCGAAGAGGGCCACCAGCAGGTGGGTCAGCACCGTTCGGCCCAGCGGGGGTGCTGCCATTAGGCCAAAAGGAGCCCTCCAGGGCAGGGCAAAAGTCACACCTAGGTCCTAAGACGCTTTGGCTCTTCTGGGAGCTGAAGACTTCTCTCAGCTAGAGGAAAACAACACAGGCATGCGGGGCAGTCGGAGTCAAAGGAGGCCAGACTGCAAGACCACGGCACCTGGAGGGGCGCGACGGGGAAATCAGAGCTGCACGTACCACGGAGGCTGTGCGGGGACCAGGACACAGCAAGGCCAGAGACGGAGAAGGAAGGTGATCCAAGGGGCAGCGCCAGGGGTGAGACCGAGGGAGCGAGCTGGAGCTGCCCACCGAGCACCAGCGATCTACGCTGTCAAACCACTGCCACTTCTGAGAACTTGGTCCCAGGCGGGCGAGGAGCGTGGCCGGCGGGGGCGTGGCCAGCGGGCTCTACCAGGGCACCTGCGCAGCCTGCGGTGCATCAGGGGCGTGGACCACGCGCTGCCCGCCTAGGCGCCCGCCTTTCCGCCCCACTAGCGTGCCGCCCGACCCGGACGCGACGTAGCTCCAGATCCATGCACCTGCGGCGACCCGCCCCCTGGACGCCCGCGGCGGAAGTGCCGTCCCGGAAGTCGTCCGAGGGAAATGTCCGCGGTCGAAAAGCCCCGCCCCTTCCTCCGGTCACCGCCCTTCCTCCGGTCACCGCCCTTCCGCTTCGCCGCGCGCGCCGGCAGGGCCCACCGCAGCGATGGCTCCCACTGCCGCCCGGCGAGCCCGGCGTAAACCTCGAGGTTCGCGGCTGGCGGGAACGCGGGCCCGCTCGGCCGAGGACTGGTGGTGGGACCGGCTGGCACCCAGTGGCTCCGGGTACCACCTGATGCAGGCGGACAGCATGCTGCTGGTGCTGCCGAGCCTGGGACCGGTCCGCACTCGCGTGCACAAACGCGCCACCCGCCGCTCTCAGCGGCCACCACCCCCCCGCCCCTCCGCGGCGGCCAAACCCCGGGCCAGGCCCGGACCTGAACCGGCGTCTGCGCCGGAGCAGGAGCCCGACGCGGGCTGGGGAGACCGCATTCCCTTGGAGGTCCTGGTGCAGATCTTCGGGCTGCTGGTAGCCGCGGATGGGCCCATGCCGTTCCTCGGCAGGTAGAGTCTGGGCCCCGATGTGGACGCAGTGGGATTGAGGGCGGCGGCTCCGATCGGCAGAGGCAGACACAAGTGTTCCGGCGCCTATCCGTAGGCGGAGTCGTGGGGGGGGCGGGTCCACTTGGAGTCGCAGGAGCCTGGCTTTCAGCAGAGATGTCTACTGCGCTGTGAGTCGAGGGAGCAGATCTGCTGCTGTTAGGAAACCATTGCGGGCATCGCCCACCAAAGGCCGTGCACTGCCAGTGAACTGTTCCTCCTCCCAGGGCTGCGCGCGTGTGCCGTCGCTGGCATGAGGCTGCGTCCCAGCCGGCGCTCTGGCATACCGTGACCCTGTCGCCCCCGCTGGCTGGCCGCACTGCCAAGAGCAGCGTCAAGGCGGAAAAGAAGCTCCTTGCTTCCCTGGAGTGGCTCATGCCCAATCGGTGAGGGTCCCCTGTGTCTATAACCTGTTGTTCACCTGTGTTTTCCCCATACCAGTGTTGGGTGGAGAGGACAACGGTTGGAGGGGCAGCTTGGGAGCACTAGGGCAACTGGGCCTTGCTGTTGCCCAGGTTCTCACAGCTCCAGAGGCTGACTCTCATCCACTGGAAGTCTCAGATACACTCTGTATTGAAGGTGAGAATTTGAGGCAGCCCTCCTGCACAACAGCTGTGACACTTGGGGTTATCCAGTACTCCAGGGAGTGGCCCAGTGCTGCCCCACAGGGATGCCTGCCTACCTACCTGGTTCTCATTTCCTTCTGTAGCCTCAGGCTGGGAGGTACCAGAGGTAGGGGTTCCCAGATAGGCCTGACATGGGCAGAACACAGATCATCACTGGGGCTACAGAGTGGGGTTGGCATGGCCACCAGTGTCTTTCCCAATGGACTTTTGCCTGCCTTCCCCAATCCCAAGTGGTTTCTGTCTTGCCACAGCTGGTTAGCGAGTCCTGTCCTCGGCTCACCTTCCTCAAGCTTTCAGACTGCCACAACGTGACTGCCGACACCCTGGTCACCCTAGCCAAAGCCTGCTGCCAGCTTCACAGCCTGGACCTACAGCATTCCATGGTGAGCCCTGTGTCCCAAGTGGCCCTGAAGAAACCTGGGCCCAAGTGACAGGCATCCCTGTGCTTGGTCCCCCAGGTGGAGTCCACAGCTGTGGTGAGCTTTTTGGAGGAGACAGGGCCCCGAATGCGCAAGCTGTGGCTGACCTACAGCTCTCAGACAACAGCCATCTTGGGTGCGCTGCTGGTAGGTGGTGTTGGTCAGGAGCAAAGTCAAGTGCTGTGCTGGGGACTGTCAGGCTGCTGACCTTGCATGCCTTCCCCCACTTCTGCAGGGCAGCTGCTGCCCCCAGCTCCAGGTGCTGGAGGTGAGCACTGGCATCAACCGTAACAGCACTCCCCTACAGCTGCCTGTGGAGACTCTGCAGAAAGGCTGCCCCCGGCTGCAGGTACCTGACGCCCTACCTTTCCCACCTGTTACCCACTTCCCTACCTGCAGCCTGCACCTTGCCCCAGGTGCTGCGGTTGCTGAACCTGATGTGGCTGCCCAAGCCTTCTGGACGAGGGGTGGCCCCGGGGCCAGGCTTCCCCAGCCTAGAGGAGCTCTGCCTTGCTGGCTCCACCTGCACCTTTGTGAGCAATGAGGTCCTGGGCCGCCTGCTTCATGGCTCCCCCAACCTGCGCCTCCTGGATCTTCGTGGCTGTGCCCGGATTACACCTGCTGGCCTGCATGATCTGCCATGTCAGGGTCAGCTGACGTGGGTGGGGGTTGGGCAGGTAGGATATGGGACCCTTGCCTACCTGCAACTTACGCCCACTCCTTTCATCTCAGAACTGGAGCAGCTGCACCTGGGCCTATATGGCATGTCGGACCAGCTGACTCTAGCCAAAGAGGGCAGCCCCCTGTTGACCCAGAAGTGGTCCCACACCCTGCGGGAACTGGACTTGAGTGGCCAGGGCTTCAGCGAGAAGGACTTGGAGCAGGCACTAGCTGCTTTCTCAAGCACCCCTGGGGGCTTACACCCGGCCTTGCACTCCCTCAACCTCAGGGGTACCCGTGTTACACCAAGTGTGATCAGGTCAGCACTCCTTCACCCAGTTCCTTGAATCCAGAACTGCTTGCTGCCCTGGGGCCCAAAGGTGTGCTGCCTGGCTCAGTGCTTCCAGGGTCTGAGAGGGGTTGCATCTGGCCGAGCCCTTGCTTGTGGTTGGCCTTGGGGACAACAGAGGTACTAAGCTTGGGCCTAGATAGCTGTGGGCGGCAGGCTGGGTATAAAGTGTAGGCAGACAGGGCTCCCTGGCCAGACCTAACCTTCTGGAGCCTGCATCTTCTGGGCAGCAACTCATTTCCCCATGGCCTGCCTTGTCCACAGTTCTGTGATCAGCAGCTGCCCAGGCCTGCTGTACCTCAACCTGGAGTCCTGCCGATGCCTTCCCAGGGGCCTAAAGCGAGCCTACCGGGGCCTGGAGGAAGTCCAGTGGTGTCTGGAGCAGCTACTCACCAGCCCCCAGCTAGACAGCTTGGCCCAGGCTTCAGGCAGCCCTCCCCTGAACCCTTTCCCACCTTTGGATGTTTGACCATTTTGTTACAATAAAATGTTTTTTAGGAACTCTGTGTGGTCCTTGGGTAGGTGTTTGAGCGGAAGATCAGGGGTTATGCCTGATGGATCACTGCTGGCCAAAGCAGCCCAGAGCCTGTGGGTGTGGGGTGGCTCCCAAGATTCCCAAACCTGCCTGGCCTGTGCCTTTGGCGGCTCACTGCTGGGTTTGAATCTTGGACTCTGTGTCCTACCCTCAGGACACTGTGGGAGTTCTCTGAGGGTGTATGTGGGGGCAGAGATGCCATTGGGAGGCAGTCCCCTTAGCAGTCACGGGTTCAGTGAGGCCTGCAGCTTTGCCCACTTAAGCTTGGAATGCGACATCCATCCTTCAGTGAGGACTGGAGCAGGCTGTATTGGTGTTGGTCAGTGTGGTAGAGAGTGGTCACCACATGCTTAGGAGGAAGGGGGTCAACAGAGCAGCGCCTTCTAGAACCCACAGCCCCGAACTTCTAGAACCCACACGGCCCAACCTGGACGGCGACCTGGCCTGGCTGCCCTGTCCTTGGTCTGCGAGCTCCTGCTCTTTCCTGGTCCACAACCCTGGAGACTTTGTCATCTCAGGTAGGAGCGTGACTTTGGGCAATGGGTGGTGGCAGTGGGGAGCCGCCAGACTGACCATCTCTGCCTGACCCAGGTCCCCAAGGCCCGGGTCAGCGGCCTGCCGACGACGACCTTCGCGGGCAAGCGCTTCCAGCTCTGGGCCCTAGGATTCTTCTGCACTGAGCGCCACCTGGCCAAACGCCTCAAGAGCAACCAGTTTTACCCCTTCACTCAGCAGCAGCCGGGCGGTGCGCGCGGGGAGGGCCGGGGCCGGGAGTGGGGAGCCGGGCGGGGCCCTTGCGGGGCAGGACACGACCGGGTATGTGGAGGGCACTGCCCCGCCCCTCCAGCCTCTCCCCCTCCCCCGCTGCCGCTATCCTCATGCACTGATCGTGCTGCCCGCAGTCTTAGTGCTCGAGTACTACCTGGACACGCTCTGGAAGGGGACGCTGCTCTTCGTTGCCTGCATGGGCATCCTCTCCTTGAATGTCCTGAAACAGGTGCGAGCTCCTGGGCCCCACCCACGGCCCGCCCCGCCTGGGGCAGGACCCAGCAAGCCCGGCCCCGGCGGCTCAGACTGTCCCCGGCGCCCGCAGGTGCAGAAGCAGGAGACCTGGGGCTTCCCCGCCTACGGCATGGCTGTGGGCCTGTGGCTCGTGGTCTCGTCGCTGCCGCGGCGCCGCCTGGTGTTGAACCACACGCGTGGCATGTACCACTTCTCCATCCAGGGCCGCACCGTGTGCCAAGGGCCCATGCACCTGGTCTACTTGCGCCTGGCACTCAGCTCCGACGGTGACGCCTGGGACGGGCTAGGGTGTGCGAGGGAGAGGGACGCAGCTGGGAGCGGGGAGGGGCGAACTGGCCAGACGACTGCCCCTAAGCTGGAGGTGCCCCCGCGGAGGCCCCTAGCTGAGTCGCTCACCCCTGGCCAGCCTATGGAAGGTGCTTCTTCCAGCTGGTCCTTTGCGGCCACAAGCTGGAACCGCTGATACTGGTGCAGCTGTCCGAGCGCTACGAGGTGAGTCCCGCCCCAGACACAGCTCCCTCCTCTGGACTACTGCTTAGGGTCCTTGGTTGAGGCCATTTTGCATACAGAGGGTAAATTCAGCACGGTCTTCCTCCAGGGCCTCCACACCATAGGGCTGGGGTGGGGAGGCTCTCTGGTTAGGGGAAGGGACGCTTAAAGGGCCCACTGGCCAGGCTTCTCTGTCTGGAGAAACCTGGCTGCAACACGCTCCCACAGCAAATGGAGTACCTGGGCCGTCGCATGGCCCTGAAACTCAACATTAACTACTTTGACTACCTGACTACCTCCTACCGGCACATGATCCGCCACTGGCCGCTGGGGGCCAGCTTTATCCCTGGCATTGTGCAGCGAAAGACTGCCCTCTACGACAAGCCCAGCCTCTCCGAACTGGATGTGTGACCCTGAGGCCTGCACCCCAGCTTCTCTTCCCCTTTAATCTCCCATCTGGGCCTGTGAGCCCTTCCACACCCACCCCGGGGCCAACTGCAGGAGTCTCACCCACTACCCTTCCTTTCACTAAAGTTGCCTTTAGCTTCCAGCCAGGAGTTTCTTGGGTTTTTTTTGTTGTTGTTGTGGGGGTGGGGAGGAAAGGATTCCCTTCTAGGGTCTTCCCCTAGTGCAGAATTTCAAAGGCCTTGGGAGCCTATCCTTTCCACCTGCTGGAACAAGCCCCAGAGCTTGGGTGGGAAGAGGAGAGTGGGGTGCAGCCAGACCTCTTAAGAGGTGGACTTATCAGGCAGCGCGCTCAGGACTCCCTGCCTCTGTTGGTCAGCAGCACTGAACTAGTTCTGCCTGGTCCAGACAGGCTACCCAGTGAGAGAAGTTCAGAAGTAAAGTCCATTCTGGCTCAGGTGCACTTTCACTAGTCCAACCAGCTATGAGATGGAGTAGAGCCAGAGCCCTGGGCCTTGAGTGCACCCTGGACCCCCAAGTTACTTCTGCACACTCCTAAGAAGTGCACTTCCAGAGTCCTCAACCAGGGTGCAAAGCTTCCCAGGACACTTGCTCAGTGTGCCTGCTGAAATTCCCCTGTCTAGCACCTAGCTCCCCCACCAGCACCTGAGGCCTCTGAGTGCTGGGGCTGCTGTGGGAGCATGGGAGTGCTGCCTGCCACTGTCCACTGGCATTCTGGTCATCATGTTGGTGGCCTAGGACTTCAGGCATTGTGTCTCTGGAAGCAGGACTGACTAAGATGAAAATGTGAAGCTCCTTGTTAAAAAGTTATTAAGAGATGGGCTGGGTGTGGCACAAATGGTAGAGCCCTTGCCTAGCATGTGCAAGGCCCTGGGTTCAATCCCAAATACTGAGGGTGAAAAAAGTTACTAAGGGGCCAGAATGGTGGTACACATCTGTAATCCCAGCACTGGGGAGTCTGAGGCAGGAGGATCACCCATTCAAGATTAGTCTGGGCCACATAACAAGACTAAAGAAAAAAGGGGGACCTGTGGCAGTTGCTCAGTGCTAGGTTGCCTGCCTAGCACAATGTGCCATCCCTAGCACACAAGAAAAAGATGAGGTATGAGGCAAGGGAGAAAGAAAGGCGAGTAGGGTCCTTGGAGGCTCCATCGCTCTGCTTGAAGTCTTGAAATGGAAAACTACTGGGGAATTGTAAGCAGAGGCCCTATGACCCAGGAGAGGATGGTGGGGAAGGGCAGAGGTTGTAGGGATTGCAAAGAGGATCCAGCTGAAAGCATAAGCCCAGAGACTGATGGAAGCGGAGAAGCAAAGCAACATCTTATGAGTCCGGGTTCCTGGCATGGGCACTGTGCGGCCAGGATGGGAATCGGAGCTCTAAGTTAGTAGGAATTCTAGGCTTGAGGGTTAGGGTTAGGGTTTCCGGACACTGAAAGAGAGAGGTTATATATTTACTTAGTGGTTCTGGAGATTGAACCCAGGGTCTCTTGTGTGCTCGGCGAGTGCTCTGCCACTGACATACATCTCAACTCTAGGGAAGTTTTTAAAAGAATCAGGGAGAAGTGGCGAGTGGGAAGCACAGATCTGCAGTCAACATGCCCTAGGGGGTCCTGGTCCCTTACCGGGTCCCTGGTAATACAGTAGAAGTGGTGGAGAAGAGGGAGAGCCAAGGATGGTTCCCTAGCATTTGATTCAGAGGCAGAGGAGAGGCCCTGGAGGGAGCACAGGAGAGGGAGAAGGAACCCATTTTGAGTAAGATGGGGATTCAGCCTCGGGAAGGCACTCAGTACCTCTGCACTGAGGGGAAATTCAAGGCAGAGAAACAGGTGGCAGCTTGCAGGTCGGAGGTCTTGTTTGATTGCATTTAAAGGCATATTGGTGTGTGGTGGGAATGGTCCAGTAGATATTATGAAGCAGGTGGTGGGATATTTGTAGGAACAAAGTCCTTGAATGGGCAGATAAGGAGAGGGTCAGAGCTACAACTGAGATTGGGAGCAGGGTCTCTGTCCATCCTCCACTTCTTCCATAGAAAAGAACCCTCAAGTTTTTTTGCTCCCATTTCCTGTGTGGGGGACAGGAAGTACTTCTTTTTCTCTCCCCCCTCCTGACTATACTTTATCCTGTTATACTAAAATAAATCCTTGCTAAAACTTGAAGAAAAGAGCTCTCTGGGTCAAGCTCAGCGGGTTCTAGAATTATGCTTGTAATCCTAGCTACTTGGGGAGCGGGGCAGGGAGAGATTGGGAGGATCAAGGTTAAAGACAGGCCTGAACAAAAAAGTTAGCAAGACCTTTTCTCAACCAATGAAGCTGGGCATGATGGTGTGCTCCTGTCGTACCAGCTATATGGGGAAGTGTAAATAGGATCATGGTCCAGGCTGCCCCAGGAAAAACTTGCAAGTGGAGCAGTAGAGGAGGTAATTCAGGGCCTCACACTTGCTAGACAGGTGCTCTACTATTTGAGTCATATTCCTGGTCTTTAATTGCTTTAGCTGTTTTTCAGGGAGGGTCTCGAATTTTTGCCCAGACCATAATTCTACTTTTACCTCCCATGTAGCTGGGATATAGGCATGCTTTGGCAGGAGGTTTTAACAACAACAAAAAGAGGTGTGAAATAGTCTTCCCACAGAATGGGAGAGTAACCGGACAAGGAGTGTACGGCAAGGTTGTCTGGCAGTATGGAGTGCCCACTTGAGATGTGTGTGACAAATGTGAGGGCCAGTGAATAGGATTATAAATTCTCCAGCAGAGCTCCACTGCTTAGATGCTGGTGGCTTAAGGGTAGGTACTTAGCCAGAATAATATAAGAATGGTCATACTTCTGGGCCATGGAACCCCAGCTGGGAAGGCAGGGTGAGGACAAGGGGCGGAGTGGACAGGGGCTTCAGTTCTCTATTGCACATTAGCAGCCACTCTAAATACAACAATGATATCTTTCTTTCTCATGACCTCGTGTGCCGGCCAGGCTCAGCTGGGCAGGTCCACTTCATCTGTGTTGCTGGGATATATCTTGTGGCTGTGCCAGCTGGAGCTTGGTTGGGGTTACAAGATGACCTGCCACCCTCCAGGGCCTCTTTCCAAGTGGTGGCTCATCATTCAGCAGGCCCTTAGCTACTGGCTTCTAGAGGGGTGTGACAAGAGGACCAGCCCTAGCAGGCAGCTGTCTCAGCAGTGTGTGTCACAGGAAAGCCAGCACAAGCATGGTGGGGCTGGTGGAGTAGGTGAGAGAGTGGGGTCATGAATGTAAGCAATCAATCCAACAGACACCACCCCAGGCTCCTCCCACTGTGGAACACAGACCCCTTGCAGGACCCCCCAACATCTCATCTCATTGCAGTACTCCTGAAGTTCATGTGGGCCTCTAAGTCAAGTTCAGGTGCAGCTCTCTTGTGAAGGGTTTTCAGGTGCAGAGTCCTATAAGCTAAAAACCAAGGATCTTCCTCTCCATACTTCACAAATTAAAAATATAGAGATGAGCTAGGCACCATCTCTGTGGGCGCCAGTGGCTCACGCCTGTAATTCTAGCTACCCAGGAGGCAGAGACCAGGAGGATCGCAGTTCAAAGCCAGCCCAGGCAAATAGTTCTTGAGACCCTATCTCGAAAAAATCCATCACAAAAAAGGGCTCGAGGTGTAAAGGTGTAGGGTCTGAGTTCAAACCCCAGAATGTTAAAAAAAAAAAAAAAAGCCCGAAGTTTAGTTAATAATATGTGTCAGGCTGGAGGAGTGGCTCAAGTGGTAGAGTGCCTGCTTAGCAAACGTGAGGCCCTGAGTTCAAACCCCACCATAACAAGAAAAAAAAAAGATAGTAATTTGTCAAACAATGTTGGTGTCTTAATTGTGACAAACCATAGAAATGTGACACAATGGCATGGGGCGTAAGGCTCATGCTTGGCTAGCAGGTGAAAGAGTCTGAGTTCCATCCCAGCGCCTCAAAAAAACCAAAATATTTAAAAACAGGTATGAAAAGTGCACAGCATCACAGTCTACAGGAATTATGAGATGCCTGTGTGCCTGTGTTGGAGCAGGGCCTCTGCCCTAACTAGGTCTTTGTGTTCTCTGGCCACAGTTCTCAGAGGGTCTTTTTTTTTTGGTGGTATTGGGGTTTGAACTCAGGGTCTTACACTTGCTAGGCAGATGCTTTACCATTTGAGCCATTCTGCCAGCCTGTTTGTGTTAGGTGTTTTTCGAGATTGGGTCTCATGAACTATTTGCCTGGGCTGGCTTCAAACCTCGATCCTTCTGATCTCTGCCTTCTGAGTAGCTAGGATTATAGGTGTGAGCCACTGGTGCCTGGCTTGCCTCCAACATTTCTGTCAGTAGAAAGCCTGTCAAGAGAGCTGGGTGCCAGTGGCTCACAGTCATATGACTCCTTTGAAAACCATGTGGGTTTTCTACAAATCAGATTGTGATCCACTGCATTGGGTAAGATTCACATGCAACAATCTCTTCAAGGCAGACTCTACTCTGCTATTGCTACAGCTGCACCTCAGGGTGCTGTGTGCAGATCCTTAAGATGCTTCGGAGAAGCCTTTTGTCTAGCTGAGTCTGAACACCACCTCCCATTTTCAGCCATCTCTGAACTTAACCTTGAAGTAGATTTGATTTGATCTTTGCCCAGAGGCTATTTCTTTCTTTCTTTCTTTTTTTTTTTTTAACAGTCCTGGAGTTTGAACTCAGGGCCTACACCTTGAGCCACTCCTCCAGCCCTTTTTTGTGTTAGTATTTTGGAGATAGGGTCTGGAGATCTATTTGTCTGGGTTGGCTTTGAACCAAGATCCTCCTGATCTCTGCCTCCTGAGTAGCTACGATTACAGGTATGAGCCACCTGCACTCAGCTTAGTTTTTGTTTTTTGAGACAGAGTCTCATTATATAGCCCAGGCTGGCCTAGAACTCTGATCCTCCTGCTGCAACTTCTGAAAGCTAAGATTGCAGGTTTGTGCCACCACACCTGGCTTGCCCAGAGACTATTTCTTCCTTTAAAAA